GATTTTTTTAACTTATTAGGATATGTGTAAAATATGTTATAGAACAGATCATGGTCTCTGTGAGAAAAGTTGTGTGTGTGTTTTAAAATAATTCATGTTCTGTGTCGTGTGAAGTGTTACATAAATGTTAATTCAACAAGTGTTGGAACAGGTCCTATACATTTTCATTATTCTTTCAGTACTCATACTATTAATTACCAAGAGAAATTTTAAAATCTCTAGCAAAATTTATATATACATATGTCTATGTCTCATCTTTTTTCATTTGTGTCAAATTTTATTTCATGAATTTTGAACACCTGCTACTGTATTAACAATATTGGAATTGCTTCTTGATGAATCATTTTTATTATGTCATTGTAGAGACAGCACAGGATCTCTATGAAGGAGTAGATGGGTGAAGGAAGAGTTCTGGAGCCCTTGTGGCTTTTTTCAGGCTTTTATTTTTTTTAAGATTTTATTTATTTATTTTTACAAGCACTGGGTACAGTCAGAAGCACAGGAGGGTGAGAATTCACCAGAGCCAGAAGAGGGAGCAGAACAGGCAGATTGACGAAGTACACTGCTGAGGGGAGCAGCGGGCGGCAGGAGAGGTCAGCGCAACATGTGGGACCCTTGCCCAGCAGCCAGGGATCGAACCAGCACTGCAGAGGATGTGGGCAGTTTCACAACCCCGCACTCAACCACTGCGCCACTGGGGAGGCCCTTTTCAGGCTTTTAAATCCCATGTACTTAGGATTCACCAACTACATAGCAGGGAGGGGTACTGGGGTGGGGGGGCAGGAGGCTGGCACTCTTTCTGGGCTCTTCAGCATTCTCTCATGACCTCTGCTTCTCTGCTGGTTCTGCTCTTTCATTCTGCTGGTGTCCCCGTGATGCCACCCTTATAAGCCAGTCTCTCAGCCCAGGTGTACCCACCTACGCATGCGCACACCCTACTCCAGTTGTCCACCATGAGGCATGCATTCAAGACTGCAGGAGGGCAGAAAAGCCTGGTAACTCATTTACCCTACAGTCATCTTCTTGTTTTCCTCAATTATGTATCTACTACATTTTCTTTATCTCATTGTGTGACAAAGGGTCTTTGGTTGTGTACTGCTCTTGATTATTGTACATTAATAGTTCTTTTATTTTAAATATCCATTACAAGAATCCTCCTTCTTTCCTAATGATATTAATATTTATAAACATCACTTTTTTCTTTCTTTTTTAATATATTTTTTAAAAGATTTATTTATTTAATTATTCAAGCATTGGGTACAGTCAGAAGCACGGGAGGGTGAGAGTATTCACCAAAGCCAGAGCAGGGAAAAGAACAGGCAGACTGATGAAATACACTGCTGAGGGGAGCAGTGAGCTTGGCAGGAGAGGGCTGAGCACCATGTGGGACCCTCGCTGGCGGCCGGGGATCGAACCAGCACTGCAGAGGCTGCAGGCAGCTTCACAGCCCAGCACTCAACCATTGTGCCACCAGGGGAGGCCCCATCACTTATTTTTTTCAATTCACATTCCTTATTATGTAGTTTATTTTTTTACCTCATTAAACTAGATAATAATTACAAAGTAATACTGACTGGCATAAGTGAGCTAAAAAAATAGTTCAAGTTTCTCTTTATGAACAGGTTTCATTGTGGTTTAGGGCAGTAAAATACAAAGTCATAATCACCCTTTATTACTATTTTGCTATTTCATCATTTCTTTTCCTATTTCATATGTTAGTTATTGCCAAGTTTTATCAAATAATTTTACTAACTTAGGAGAAAATCTTATGATAAACTCTTGTTATCATTCACAATTGTATTATCTCATAATTTATAGACCCTTTAATTATCAAATTTTAGTAAACATTTGTGAGATGCACAAAATAAACTGAGTTTTTTTTTTATCTTTTGCTAGAGATTCTACAATATTTTAATCACATAGAAACATTTTCTTAAAGTCCATGAAAGTATTACATGGCCTTTATTTTTTGATGCTTAGACCTGAATTCCTTTTCTAATGACTTTACTTTTTTTAAAAGATTTATTTATTTATTTTATACAAGAACCAGGTTATGGGCCAGATGCACGGGAGGGTGAGAGGATTCACCAGAGACAGAGCAGGGAACAGAACAGGCAGACTGACTAAACACACTGCTGAGGGGAGCAGCGGGTGCGACAGGAGAGGTCTGCTGCGCCCTGTGGGACCCTTGCTGGCTGGCTGGGATTGAACTGGCGCTACAGAGGCTGCAGACAGCTTCACAGAGCTGCGCTCAACCACCTGCGCCACCAGGAGAGCCTTCTAATGACTTTACTTTTAACTTGTTAAATCTTTAGTTCTGAACTATTAATTTTTTGTTCCCTTGTCTTAGTAGTTGATTTTGTTTGACCTTTCCAAGATTCAGCTTTTGGTTATTTGGGGTGTGTGTGTGTGTGTGTGTGTGTGTGTGTTTGTGTATGTATGTGAATACAGGCATGCATGTATAAATACATATGTATTAGGTAAACATATTTATTTTAAATTAATAAATGAAGACTTAACAGACTTTACACAAAAAAGTTTATTTAAATGATCAGCACCATCAATCAATAAGAAATATTGATATAAGGTATAATTATATCAAATGCCCTCCTTCTCTAAGAGTTACCCTATTAGCATAAAGCAAGGCAAAATGATGCTTAGAGATGAGCATAGGGGAAAAGAGAAGATTGGAGAGGAGGAGAAAGCAAAGCAGGGGAGGAGAGAGAAAATCCCTTCATGGTTATGTACCATTTAGCATTCCCTTTTGCAATGTGTGAAAATGTGAATTTCTCCTTACATTTCATCAAGCAAAAATAGAGGCAAATATTAACCATCTTTTTAGGATCTTGCTATTATAGCACAACAGAATTGTTCCAATTTAGATCACAGTAGAGAGGGGAATACATAACCAATAACATCTCGTACTCTCCCCTGTCCATTCAATCCACCCAGTGGGAATTGGTGAAGAGGGAACTGAGACCCCAGTGTAGCTCCTACCCTTTCCTGACATGAGAAGGAGAAACCACCCCTGTTTCCTCCTAGGGGACAGTGAAGCCTATAGAACCTGGTCAGCTTTCCCAGGAGGGGTGCTGGCCTCTTGAATGGCACTCTCCATTGCTGGGTTCAAACTGTCCATTAATTGATGATTCTCCTCCTCCTTCTCCCTTTTGATGCTATCTGGATGAGAGGAATGCAGCTTCATCCATCTTTGTGCCCTCAAACAGGCCTTGGTCTTTCCTAAACCTAGTTTATAGAAGGCAGTCAGTATTTGCCCAAGTAGAATTTCGGTTGAAGTAGAAGATTGGACTCCTCGGGCCTCCCCTGGTGGCAAAGCAGTTGAGTGCTGGGCTGAGAGGCTGCCCGCAGCCTCTGCAGTGCTGGTTTGATCCCCGGCCACCAGGCGAGGGTCCCACATAGAGCTCAGACCTCTCCTGCCGTGCCCGCTGCTCCCCTCAGCAGTGGACTTCGTTGGTCTTCCTGTTCTGTTCCCCGCTCTGCCTCTGGTCAATTCTCTCACCCTCCTGCGCTTCTGACTGTACCCAGGGCTTGTATAAATAAATAAATAAATCTTTAAAAAGAAAAAAAAAGATTGGACTCCTCTTGATTGAACATAATTTATAGAAAATGCTGAGCACACTCCTGATAAGCCTCCCGGGGGGGAGGGGTGGAAATTAAGGTGAAGATTGAAACTGAGCCCATATACAGTACCTTCCATAAAACCAAAATCATCTTCCATGCACTGGACTCTATGATATTACTCATACCAAGATTGAAAGAAAAATATGAGGAAGAACAGTCTGAGCTAGTGGCTAAACTGATGTCTAGATCAGCACAGAAAGAACTTTACTGATGCAAAGCAAGTTCCTCTAAACAGAGAGAAAAATCCCACTGCATGTTCCACAACTGCAATGTGCTTACAGTGACCAACACACGGAAGGGTCTTTGGAGCTGATCAAACACAGTATGATGGCCTTACTGTTGGGCACCAAGTTGTTTCTTCATTCCACAAGAGAAAAGAGGGTGGCCTAGATATGAATCCTCACTCTCATATTTACAAACTCAGAATGATACCCAAAGTAGAGAGAGTGATAAATTTTCAAAGGGTTTATTTGCAATGGGAAGAGGAAAGAGAGAGACAGAGAGACAAATTGCTGAACACTTACTATAAGCAACACTGTTTGATATGAGGCGGCAGGGTTCAAGTTGAACTTGGAAAGGCAAGAGCTAGAGCACCCATTTGTTCAAGTTTGGAGTTAAGCATGGTTATTAAACTCTGCCCATAGTTCTCAATGGACCAGATCAGGAAATATATTGATGGAATGCTGGGAATTGTAATCCTAAACTTCTGCAATCTCATTGCCTGGGAGAAGAGGGTGGAGTTTGTAAAAATATCAGAAGTTGTAGTTCATGCAGGACATCATTCACAGGGTATTTGTCCTTTCAGTTTTTCTAACACATTGGTGAAATAGTTAACTGCACGATTCCATGAAACTAATAGAACACCTAGCTAGCTAAATGCAAGAGGCCTTACACCAAGACCCATAATAGAAAATTGTCAAAATGTAAGTATGTTAATATACAGATATAAGAAAGAACTGATTTTGAGAAACATGAGCAGAAAATGGAACTTTCCAATTTAGTATTCCATACAAAAAACTAAAATGATGTTGACATATAGTGTTTGCAGAAAGTGTTTATTTTATTTAAATTTCTGCAGTGAAAATGTACAAAAATACATACATAATATGTATCAAATTCAATGTTAAACACGTATTTATCAAAATTTTCATTACAATCTTTATTTTGATGTTTTATCATTTTAGGTAGGTGCACAAATTCATCAATTTTAAAATATTTTTGAAATATTTTCAAATCACATGATCAGACACAATTTGAAATATTTTCCATATTCTAGAAGCAGACAATTGTAATAATATGAGAGGTAAAGCTACCATTCTTGGGGTGGACCTCCATTTCCCACTCCTTCTGCTCACTTCTACCTAAATCAGTTGTCGTTTACAGATATAATGGTTTTTCTCTGTGCAGCGATCTTTAAAAGTAGTGCCACTTGGCCTGTATGCTATGCAATACCTTGGTTCTGCAGTTTGAGATATTAACAACCTGCAATTAAAAAGAAAAATGTTAACATTTGGGAAAAGAAATGAGAATTTGGGGGGATGTCGTTTTTATTAAATGACAGAACTTTTCAAAGCATATGGATGATGCAATACATATTGAGTTGATATGTGGTTTTTATTCAATAGTGACAATTTTCATGATTTCAGAGTAAACTATGAAACCTAGGTTATTGTCTCAATAGCTAATAACACAAAGACTGATTATTTTGTCTTTGTTTTAGTGGATTTGATATATGATATACTTTTCTTCAATTTTGCATATATTATATTAACTAAACTAGTCTAGGAAAAGAAGTTAGGGCATACAATTTGATTGATGCTCAAAATTCCATGTTTATGAAAATGAGATTTTAAAAAACTAAAAATATACAGAAAAGTGCCTCCCTGGTGGCGCAAGGGGTTAAGCACAGCACTATGAAGTAATCTCAGCCTCTGCAGCAAGTTCCATCCCCAGTGGCAAGGGAGGAACCCACATGGTGCAGCAGACCTCTCCTGTCTCACCTGCAGCTCCCCTCAGCAGTGTATTTCAGTCAGTCTGTCTGTTCTGTTCCCACATCTGTCTCTGATGAATCCTCTCACCACCCCGTACCTCTGGCCTGTACTCCAGCTCTTGTATGCATAAAAAATAAATCTTTAAGAAAATAAAAAAAATTCAGAAAATAATAACTGAAAATTTGTAATAGGAAGCTGAGAATATTGGATCCAGCAAAATAAAGAAAATCATGGCTATAATGTTTCCTCTGGACAGTCTCTGAGAATGTCACATCTGCACACACACATACACCCATTAAAGAGAAAAAATACCCAGTGTCACAAGCTCTACTATGGTCACAATTACACAAACGTCATGTCACTTGAGCATAACTTATATTTTCAGATGCAGCTAAGATTGTTATTCTGTTGAACCTAGTTTTTCCGCATGCGCATAGACTGGGAAGAATATCTTGGCTACATCAGTGGTGAGATAAGCATAAACTGATAAAGAACAGAGAATCTCAGGCCTCCCCCGGTGGCGCAGCGGTTGAGCGCTGGGTTGCAAAGCTGCCCTCAGCCTCTGCAGCGCCGGTTCGATTCCTGGCTGCCAGTGAGGGTCCCACATGGCGCACAGACCTCTCCTCCCGCGCCCGCTGCTCCCCTCAGCAGTGCACTTCGTTCGTCAGTCTGCTTGCTCTGCTCCCCACTCTGTCTCTGGTGAATTCTCTCACCCACCCGTGCTTCTGATTGTACCCAGTGCTTGTATAAATAAATAAAAAAATCTTTAAAAACAAACAAACAAATAAAAAACAGAGAATCTCTAGACTGGCAGCAACTTACAGATCCGGGGAGATTTTAGAGCCATCCTCCCATACCCAGTTATAGTGCTCTTCACTGTAGGTGACTCCAATCCAGTAAAAGTTTCCACTGAACTTCATAAAGTTCTGCTTAGAAACAGAAAAAAACAAACTGACCTAATTAAATCTACTCTGGGGTAACATATTTTTTTAAAAGTAAGTGTCCAGCATCAGATTTAGCCTTTCAATCACACAAACTGAAAGCATTAATGTTTGGTTTAGGAGGTAGTCACAAGTCTTATATAGCCTCATATACTAGCCCCATCTGCTTATGGAAAAAAATATCATAAAATCCCACATTAGACAGAATAAAAATCATTACAAATGGAGTTTAGCATTTTCAAAAAACACTTTCTTCATAAGGAGAACATTCAAATTTGATTCTGTATCAGTGTCTTGGGAATAAATTTTGTGATTATAATTTTCTCAACCTATGTTCAGCATAGATACTGCATGGGATGAGAAAAAGGTTTCACTTTTTCTTAAGAATTAGATATGTTTTTGATCATATATTTCATATTCATTCCACATCCCAAAATGATGCCAAAATATTCAGAATTACAAAATAAATTATCAAAGATCAAAAATTATAAATATTTAGTTGTGTTCTTAAATAAAATTAACCTATAATATCTTTAAATTTTCTCTAAAATAGTTTTTGTATTTTACTTGACATTTGCCTTGAAGTCTCATCTAACAACACAAATCATTGACAAATTTCATAGAGATTTTATAACAGTTGTTTCAAGTTGTAGAATATTAGTAAATCATCAGTTAAAAAAATAAATATCCAATACTATCTGATTAAAGTTTTGAATCAAATTATTCAGTTCATTGAGATGGTGCATTTTCCCAGACCAAAAAACATATAAGGCCAGAATTAAATACATGCCAATTCATCTCTGTTGTGCATGCGAAGCAGAGTAGAATTATGATAATCACAGAAATCTCTACTTTCTTCCCAAGTTTTCAATTCACGGGAAATAAAGTAACAGGTGCACTTATAGCCAATCCATCTTTCTTGGCAAGAACTGTATCCAGAGTCTAAAAGAAAAATAACACATAGCCGTTGAGAGTGGAGATCATATTTCAGTGCTCTTTACTCGTTGAAAAATTATTTGTAATCTATTCATTTTTTTCCACAAAATTTTTGAAAATCTGAGTATAAAGTTGAAATATTCTAGATACAGCTAAACATATTTTTCTGTTGAACGTGTTCTTTTTTCTGTACTCTGGAGTAAATAGATCTAAGAATAAATTAGATCCTAGAGATCTTTAAAGGAACAAAGTGTTGTAGCATATTTCCTGGAAAATAAAGAATTTTGTATGTCAGAAGAATTCTGATATGTGTGCTGGGTATTTTATTTTATAAAGGAAGATACCAAAAACAATTAGTTTGAAGTCTCATGTTACAGTTTACACTGTAGTGTCCTGAATATTTACCATCCTCAGTGACAAAAGTCATGACACATGGTAGGGACTCAAATTGTAGCCAAATGAGTGGTGCTAACGTGACTACAATGAGGGGATCAGTGGGATATGAAATTAGAAGATGAATCAAAGGGTATAAACTTCCAGTTAGAACATGAATAAATTATAAGTATCTAATTTGCAGCATTGTGAAAGCAGGTAATATTAGTCTAATATATACTTATAATTTGCAATAAAGAGTAGATCTTAATTTTTTCAACACAAAAAGAAATGGTAATTATGGGATATAATAGAGGTGTTAGCTGATAATATGGTATCATCATATCACAATGTTTATCAAATTAACAATTTGTGAGCCTTAAATATACACGATGTTTTATGCCAATCTTATTCCAACGAGCAGGAAAAAATGGAAGGGCAAAAACATAAACATGAAATGAGATATGGTCACAGAAAATGCTAAAACATGGAAAACATTTGGATAAAATACTTCAAAAGTGAATTTTGAGCTGGCTTTTCAGTGGATAAATAAAGAGTTTAAGACATGAGGCACTGAATTCTGAGTCACAGAAGATAAACAAGGTAAAGAGATAGAAATTAATAGTTTATGAGCAAACTGCAAATTAATTAGGATTAGCTGGGAGAAGTACTGCAACTTAGTTTTGATTTTTTTACTTAAATGTGAACAATTATGCAGGAAAAATTAGGTCATTACAGGCTAGTGTTAATTTTACATTTTAATATCAATATATAAATAATGTATTCAATGTAATATTATTCTTATATTGGAGAACAATGAAATGATACTATCTTACAGTTCGTAGGTCAACTTGCATAACTAGATTAGAATATTCCTTAATGAGTTTGTGTGAGCAAAACAGGAAATTATCTATTTCATCCTCTACCAATCCCAAGGTTTACAAATTATGGAACCTACCTTCCTGGAATTCAATGGTGGTTCCTGGAGAAACTGTTGGCTCACTACTTGGTAGATCAAAATCTATAAAAATGATTAGAAACTTTTAGATACAAGTTTGCAAATATTAAAATATTGTATATTCATGAATAAAACACTTATTATTAAATCTTCTCATCAAAGTTTTGAATTTTTTATAGATTTGTCAAGCAAAACTTACAGTTTTTCAACACAATTCCCAAAGCAGCCATCAACAAAAAGCACATTACTCCTAAGATCCCAGAAATCCACCTCCACAGAGTGGTCTGAAAAGCTGTAGGAAAAGGGAGGTAGAGTGATGACTTCTAGGAAAAATATATAGGTTCTTAAAAGCAAGAACTAGAAGGAGGAAATCCAAAACATTTTTTGGCTTGCTAATATAATCACTTTGCCAGCGAAACATTTGAAAATGAAGACAAATCATTGAAAGCTCCAAGTAATGCTAAAATGCATTCCTCTGTGAATTATCCTTATTTTTTCCCTTTCCTGAGATCCATCTTAGTATAATGTGGATTAACCAGATCTTTCCTTCCTTCTTTCTTTCTTTCTTTCTATTTTGGCATAGAAATATGGAGATCTGGAATAAGAGAAGATCAACATACACTAAGTTTTGGTTTGGTCTTCACAGCAGAGAGTAATTTTTATTTTCTCAAGAAATATCACAAGAGGAATGATTCCCAGTATGAAGCAGAGAAAAGTTAGCATTCATTAATAATACGGTTTATTCAAGATATCAAAGCTAGTAGGTATCAGATTCAGAAGTAAAATGAGTTTGTTGGGTCCTATAGTCTTTCATGTAACATGTCATCAGTGTTAAAACAATACTTGCTGAAAGTATGCCCTTCTTAAATTGTAATAAAGTTCCTGTTCTGATAAATGTCAGGCTGCTCATAGTTCTGAAGATATTGAATGGGGAAGAAAAGGCATAGGATGCCCTGGATCTGATATGATGAGAGGCTCCCCAACAGTTTAAAGAGTGACGCCAGGGTGACCTGCATTTGTTTTACATATTTTGAATGGTGATACATAAGCAACCATTGGTTAAAAGACACTAAATTTTCCCCATCCCAAAATTACTTTCCTATAAGCATTTCCCCTCAAACAATTGAACATTAGAAAATTCTGCATTAACATCAGCACCCTCCTTAAGATTGTTGTCATTAACAGTCTAATGTGTCAAACTGTTCATCTGAGTGCCTTTGGATGTCAAAACAAAATGGTAAATTTGTATAAACTTGTAAGCATTAGGCATTAATATCTGGCATTTTCTATTTATCTCTCTGCTCAAACTGTGTTGCTCATAATTGAACCATGTAAATCAATCCTCTAAGTATTTATTGCTATCCCTGTCAGAAACCATCCTTTTACCTTTAGAGAAGCTTCACAAAATAATTTCTGTTTTACGGAATAGAGAATCATAGAAATAAAATTCAGAGGAAAATAATGGCATATATGAAACCTAAAGATATCATGCGTTTCCCATCCCTGCCCTGAAATTAGCAATATCCATGACATACATTTTCTGGGTGCTTTTATTATTTTAATTGAGTGGCTTGGGCTGCACTTACCTGCCATGAGGAAGGAAGCTCCAGCTCAGTGCAGGGAAGCCGCCCTTGTTCCAGAAGATCCAGGCCAGATCATGGAATTAGCTGGAGGCCTACGAATCAGAAAGCTGGGTAAGAAAAATGTTAAAAGAAAAAGAGAAATTCTCCACGTACACAGTGTTCTTGAATCACCTCTCTATTGGTGAGAATGGATGGACAGTGTAAACCAGAAGCAGCAAAATCATGAGCTTCTAATTTGTTCCGGACCACAATACAGGAAATTCTCACTTTACCTGCGCAGCGCCTCCTTTTGTCTGTAATAAAAGGTCAGAGTGAGAATATATTTTTTTAATGTTTTAGCATCAAATCTTTTTAAAAAAATAATTTAAAACTATTTAAAAATAGAGGGAACATGGGTAAACTAAGTATATGTACTTAGTATAAAGTTCCACAAATAAGAAACATTATTCAATTGTGCTGAATACTAATTAAAACACTTAGCGTATATTAGCTCATTTATTTCTGAGACTGACATAAGAAGAAGACACATAATTGTTCTCATTTTACCAGTGAGAAAACTAAGTATGATAGGACTCACTAATTTTTTGAAAAAACTTACATTTGAAACCAAGCAGTGTTTCTCCACAGACATCTTCAATATACTTTTAAAATCAGAACATCTCTCTGACTCCGTTTATTGTGTGGATTTTCATTTTCTTTACAAAAAATGTGTGCTATTTCCATGTGTACTTCTGTGCTCTGTTCTCTACTTTCTTAATTCAGCTAGAGAATGCAGGGATCAAAAAGGTAGGAGAGTGATCTCCCATTACTGTTCCTTGCACACACACACACACAAGTGCTCTAAATTATTTCAGTTCATCTGAAGCCATACAAGGCAACTCATTTAAATTTTGAAATCTCATAGCTAGGACAAATTAATACAAATGCTCAAATGTTCTTATTTTCCTCATTCCTGTCAGAATCCTCTGAGAATCTTCTTCATCTTGTGGAAATTAAGACTGGACACAAATTACAATGGCCAGTGGGTTAGACACACAGATACACTGAAATCAGTCCAACCCTACTTTAGGTACTGGTTGTAATTCGTTTTACTGAAAACAAAATGGATAATCAACATTATCTCAAGGGAATTTTGAGACACTAGGAGGATGAACATTGGAAAATTGTGGACTTCTTTCATAAATTTTTGCTGTTATTTGTTTTCTTTTTTTTTTAGGCAGGTTTTTATGAGTAAGTCTATCACTGAGCTACATATTTAGGTTCACTTTGAAGAACAGTGAAACTGAGAGTGAATTTCTTATGTACCAAGAGTAATCAGTTAGGAAACATTTACAAATGTGAATGACAAATCTTCTAGTCCAGAATCAGCAAGAAGTAGTTTTTAAGATGAGCAATGTCTCTAGTAAGCTTTGTTTGAAAACATTTATTATTTCAATCATTCTGAATTTACCACCACTCATGTGGAATGAAACATTTTGTTAAAGAATATAACATATTGTGACTTTAGTGAAAGGAGCAATATACTAGTTGAGACATAACAAAGAAAGAAAATGAGACCAGCTTGTGTTAGCAACAAGGAATAAATACACTGTCTTTTGGCAACTTCTGCTTTTACTTTCACTTTTATTTGGAAATGAATATAGATTGACAGAAAATAGCAATAGTAATAGCGTACAGAAAGCTCATTTGCACAGTTTACTCAAATGTCTCCAATAGTAATATTCTACATAAGTACATTGTTAAAAACAGGACATTGACATCGGTACAATCAGATTTTACCGGTTTTACATGCATTTATTTGAGTGTCTGTGTGTGTACAGGTAAACAAATTTTATCACATATGTAAACACATGTAACCATTTCTCATAATGCTTGCTTTTATATTCTAGAAAATATATCCACCAATTATTTTGTTACTATGATTACGGTAGTTTAAGAAAAAGCAAGGTAAATGATAAAATCCTTCCTTTGCTTACCAGTTTTGTTTTTTGAGTTGGCTCAAAAAACAGAATTTTAACATCATTGAGCCCACATTACAGCCTATACTGTGTTAAATGTGTATGTTTCAAAATCCCAGTGAACAATTTTGGCTTCTACAATTTTACTATAGAAATTCATAATACACCAGAAAGTCTGTTATGGACAATACTTTCTTTAATGTGAAGATCACACAAATACACAAGCTCTAGGAATTCACTTATATTTTGCCTAACTCTGCATACCCTTTTCCTAGGGTTAAAGCACCTGACATTATTTTCAATCAGTTTCTAATGGTTCTTCATTTTCACTGACAGCTCACCAGATTGCTCCTTATAGGTCTTATCCTACCATTTTCCAGGGAGTAAAGACAATCACTTTGCAGCTTCAATCAAATGAAGAAATAGTTGCCATTGGATGACCTGCTGATTTTCAGTTATTTGTTTTTAAGATTTATTTATTTATGATTACAAGAAATAGTGTACAGGCCAGAGGTGTGGGAGGTGAGAGGAGTCACCAGAGACAGAGTGGGTAACAGAACAGGCAGACTGACTGAAATACACTGCCGAGGGGAGCAGCAGGTGAGTCAGGAGATGTCTGCTGTCTATGTGGTTTATCTCCCTGGCCGGGGATCGAACTTGCACCTCAGAGGCTGCGGACAGCTTCTCTGTGCTGTGCTCAACCCCTTTGCGCCACAAAGGAGGCCCCTTTAGTTATTCTTTAATACTTTGTTTATATTTGATCACTGATATGTTATCCAATACTTTTAAATTATATATTTGGAATTAAGTTACTACATTTATCTTTTAGCAGATTTCTTATCATTTTGCAGTTACAATTTTATGGACAGTTACAAAATTAATCAGGGATATTGAACAGAGAGATATGACACAGAAAATTTCCCTCTTTTTGCATTAAGTTAAAAGCATCAAGGCAACTACTTTTCATCAAGAGAGATAAATTTTAAAGCCAAAGTAACAATTCTGCTTCAAATTCAGGAATACCTCATTCAGACTTCCATGAAAGAAACAAAATAATGTGACAACCATGCATTTGTAAATCTTTCTTTGCTGTTGACTCTACCTGTAGCTACTTTATAAATTGAGACATCTGCACAGAAAGAGAAGCATCCAAATAATGGTGATCAACTTGTTAACATCCATTTTGGAAAAAAATTTGGCATTGTCCATGTGTATGGTAGAGAAACACAAAAACATAATTTACTTTAAAATATCTTAATGTTAGCTCTTACTGCACATCTCTTCTCACTAACAAGCCTGGACTGAAGCAAGACCCTCATGTCGAAGTTGCGAAGAGTTTGTTGGCTGTGCTGTGGCTTCTCAACCCCTTGTAGTTGGAAACAGTGTGTGGTGAGTGTTGTGGGCCGTTGGGTTCTCACTCTGCACTAAGACACCTAAGTTGATAATTGGTCACTTTTTGATGTCTAAAGCTCAGGATTTAGCGAAGTAGCACTGAATTGGCACTGTGCCTTTTTGTTGAACATAAGGCAAAAACATTACATTTTAAAGCTCTGTGGTCAGTGCCTGTTGCTACAAAAGGAAAGTAAAAGTTCTCCTCAAGAATTGTAAGATGCATAGGTAGCACAATAGGATACTACACAAATCAGTAAAAATCTGTCAGTTAGAACTCACCTCTAACTTTTGTACTGAACTCTCATTTAGTGAGGGGCAATCAATTTATATATTCCTAAGCTGTCAGATAGATAGGTAGGCAGATAACGATGATGATAGATAGATAGATAGACAGATAGATAGATAGATAGATAGATAGATAGATAAAGATAGAATTTTTAAACAATTTTTACATTTAGTAAAAGGAATCCAATCTTTAATACTACTTTTTCAGGCATCTTTAAATCTGATATGTTAAAAACTAAAGCAAACAAAAACTGAAGTCACACTTGAACACTTTTTCTCTTACATACTGGATCTAATATATCATTATATCTGATTTGTATAAAGTTTGGAATATATGCATATTTATAGGTGTGCACATGCATCTCATCACCTCTATTACTTTGAGGACCACAATTTTGATGACTTGTAAAATCTTGATTTTTCTGAAACACTTAAATTTTTAAATCCCTTATTTTCTTTTGATTATTTTATATGTTACTGATATGGTGTTTATTATATCTTTACTGTGAGATATTATTAATTAATTTTTAAAAAATGCATGAGTATCAATATGTAATGACTGATTTTTAGCAAAATAAATATTTCACATAGTTGAAGTCATCACCATGGGAAATCTTAGATGTTCTTTCTTTTCATTCTCATGTATTTATCTGATCTAACTAGATTGTCTTCTTACAGATACAGTAGCCATCAATTTGGCAATCTTCAGCATTGATCCGGCCATTTTTTATATGTATGCATTTATTAACATCAGGTTTCTGTCCAAGAATTGGAAGCCTAGAAGAGAAATAATTTCCATTATATGTTGAATCTGCATTATATAAAATTTATATTATTAACAACCATAATATTTTGAAAAAGTTATTAATAAATAACAGAAAAAAAACACTTTCCTAGTTCTTCACAATGCAAATAAATATTTTGTGTCTTCCAAAAGCTAATCTTAATTCTGACTATAATCTCTACAACCTCAAACAATTTCAGAGTGTCTTCCATTTTCACTGAGGTTACCGTATAGTCTTTATACATTAGTGTTTTGATAAACACAAAACATATTCTATTGCTTATATAGTGTAGCAAACTTATTAATCATCAGTAACAATTGATTCTCTTCTGTAAAAGTTTAGCTTATTCCTTCAAGTGTAAAGATCCTCATATTAGTTAATGTAGACAATTATTTCAAATGAGAAAATATATATCGGATGGAAAAAGCAATTCAGGAAGTCTCATGAAAAATGTACTCTAATTCCTAAAGAAGGGCATGTGATAACTACATGAAAGTGTAGCATTAGAAATGAAGATGCAGGGCCTCCCTGGTGGTGCAAGGGGTTAAGCACAGCACTGTGAAGCAATCCGCAAGCCTCTGCAGCACGAG